CTCCGTGTCCAAGATTGGTCCCTTCGATGCCGTCGTTACGCTGGACAAGGGTGTCGACGTCAGCTGGCAGGGCAGAGTCATTGGCAACGTCGCGCTGCCCAACGTGACGATCATCCCGGAAACAACGCCCATCCAGATGCGAGCCGAGCTGACCATCGCAGACCCCGGGCTTATGGCCGATCTCGTCAAGGCTATGCTGCAGGAAAAGAGTCTCGAATGGACGGTTTCCACGCCGTCGATGGTCGTCTACGCCTACGATGCCGTGCTCAACGGACCGGGTCTGACCAAAAAGACGACAGTCAGGGCATTCGACCGTCTGCGCAACGCTGTAGCGCTCACCACGTTTGACCTGCCGTCCAACGACCCGGCTGGTGGCATCCACATTACGGCATCCGCGTCGGTGCGCAACCCTTCTATGATTGGTGTCAACCTCGACCGTCTCGGAGTCAGCTTTGGCCTGCCCACCAGCATCCTTGGTGAAGCCGGCCTTGGCGACGCGCTCAGCATGGCCCCCGGCGCAACCTCCAACGTTAATGTGGCCGGTCGAATCCTGCCTCAGTCCGGTCAAGGCTTGACCGACTTTTCGGCCATCGCGCAGAACTTTATCTCCAACAAGCCCACGACGCTGACGGTACATGGCGTCTACGCGGGTCCCGAAAGCGTCACGTGGCTTACAGAGGGGATCAAGACGCTCGAGATCCCCGTGACTGTGCCAGGTATCGTGCTCGACCCGCTCAAGAGCGTCAGCATGACCAGCGCCACGCTCGACTTTACCCAGCCCAGCGCAGAGTGGTCGCCTGTGCTGAGCACCGACACGGTGCGTGCAGCCGTGGACATTCCGTTCAGCTTCCCCTTTGCAGTCGACAGCGTCGACGGCTCCTTCGACATCCTGTACGGTGGGCAGGGTGCTGCTCGTCTTGTGCTGCCGTCTACCGGCGCCACTACGGAGAACAGGACGGTCAGCCTGGCGATTCAGAATGCCCGCATGGACATCCCCGGCAACTTCCGCAACAACTTTGCCAACCAGCTCGCCATCAATGCTGTGCAGGACCAGTCCGTTGGGGTTGGTCTCACGTCGAGCGCTGTCAATGCCCTTGTCTCGACCGCGTCGGGCGACATCACGGTCAAAGGCATCCCGATCCAGCTCGACCCTGCGCTTGCGTTGAACGGATTCCAGGGCCTTCGCAACAGCCCTGTGGGCATCGGCGGCCTCGACGTCACGGGTGGAACGAGCGACTACGTCATCGCCAGAGTGGACGCGAGCATCGTCAATCCTTCGCAAGTGCATGCCATCGTAGGCGATGTCCGCATGCAGGTCAACTACGACAATGGCGGCAGCATCGGTGATGCGCTGGTTCGCGGCGCCAACATCCCACAGGGTCCCATCACATTGCCAGTCGAAGCGCAGCTCAAGCTCAACAGCGACATTGGGAGGCGTCTGATCAAGGACTTTCTCACCAGGGGTGGACCGGACATTCAGGCTCAAGCGCGCGGTACAGGCCGATCCACCGCTTACGGCTCGCTCAATCCAGCCGTATCGACGCTCGCCTTCGGCGCCTCGGTTCCCAGGCTCAACGAGACCTTGGTCACCCAGGCCACGCTGATTGTACCGCCTAACGTCGATAAGAGGCTGATTGTGGGGGCTTCGTTCGTTCTGACCAACCCATTCGGTGCAACCATCACGGTGCTGCGCGCAAGGGCAAGCGCCACATCGCTGGCTGGCGTGCTACTCGGCAGCGTCGACGCCAGCATCAACATGGTAGCAAATGGACGATCTACGGTGACCTCGCCCCAATTCCCCGTGCAGGTCAACACGAATCTCGCTGCCATCATCGGCTTCTTCGAAGATCAGGCCCGGGCGAACGGCGTCGATCTCGGCCCTCTGCTCCCGCTCATCGAGCCGCTCAAGTCTCGTCAGAACCTGGATTCCAGCATCAGCTACCGACCGGCTCAGGGCGACGGATGCCCTCTCAATGGCGCCACTGATGTGATTGGCGCTTTGCGTCGCTCGCTAGAGGGCACTCAGCTCGCTGCCGATGCTCAGGCCAACGTTCTGGTGGGGTCGTATCGCATCGACAATGTCCCCGTCCAGCTCCAGCCGATCGCGCTCCAAGTCGACAATAGCGTGCGATACCTCATCGGACCATTTGGCGCGCCAGTCGTCGAGAACATCGTCAGCGGATTGACGCTGCAAGTCCTCAACATCTCTGCCTCGGCTCTGTCTGCCGACGGGCTCAGCGTCAAGGTGAGCGTCCAGATCGGCGGCGTCGGACCTTTTGCCGCGCAGGTCAGCTTCGCCAAGCCTCTCGAGACTCGCTACAAGGGCAGGCGCATCGGCACCATCGACCTGCCCACATTCTGCCTCCCCGCGGATGGCCGCCTCGATCTCGACGTGCGACTCTCCGTCACGGACCAGAACGGATTCGGCGACTTTGTGAGCGATCTGATCGCGCAGGAGAGCCTCGACATTGAGATCTTCTCGGACTCGATCGTGGCCAGTGCGTACGGTGTCGAGTTCTCCAAAATCAGTCTCCGAAGGCCGATCACGTTGCAAGGGCTTCAGGGCTTGCCCGGCGTCGTCGCAAGGACGGTCTCGGTGGTTGGGCAGACGTCCAACACCCTGCTCGTCGAAGCGGAGGCCACGGTGCCGTCGCGCACATCGATTCGCGTCGAGCTGCCCAACGTCGATGTCGACTTCCAGTACAACAATGTCGTCCTTGGCGGTGTTCGTGTTCCCGCCGGCACGGTCTTGGCGCCCAACGCAGCCAACAACTTGCGCGTTGCTGGCCAGGTGAACCAGATCACAAATAATGCCCAGCGTGCGGCGTTGGGTGCGCTCGCAAGCCGGTTCATCTCTGCCAACACCACCACCGTCAACATTGTCGGCAACAGCGCCTCGGACACCAGCGGTCAGAACATCCCGTGGCTCACGCGTGCGCTCAAGACGCTCAAGCTTGCTGTGGATGTGGCCGGTCAGAACCTCAACCCGGTCACGCGTGTCAATCTGCCGGACCTGACCGCCGACTTTGCCTCTGCACAGGACGACGGCTTCCAGTTCCCCGTATCATCGCAGCGCACAGAGGCAGTGGTTTCGATTCCTTACAACATCAACGTCGGGGTGGTCTCGGCCTCGGGCACTGCTTATGTGGCCAACGCAGGATCAACGGTTCGTGCCGCCAGCGTGGAGCTCGACTCGATACCGATCTCGGGCTCGATCTCGGGTGCCAATCAGTCTGCGACGCTGCAGCTCAGCCTGAAGGACACTATCTTGACCGCGGTGGATCGGGGCGCGTACAACGACCTCTTGATCAGTGTCGTTTCCAAACCGACGACCGAGCTCCGCGTGCTCGGCGCCGTTTCGGCCGTAGTCAACCTCGCGGTGGGCCAGATCACGGTCGACTCGGTCAACCTCGACGTGCCCACAACCTTGCCGTCGCTCAACAATTTCGGAGGGCGGCTGCAGGTGGTTGGCAATGTCGATGTGATTGGTGGCACGCCCGAGCACGGCATCGCCAAGGTCAAGGTGATCCTCAACAACCCTTCGGTCATCACCGCCAAGATCAAGGAGCTGAGCATTCCTGCCTTCCTCGACAGCAACACAGTCGGCCGTGCGATGATCCAGGACCTTGTCCTCAAGCCAGGCGACAACAATCTGGAAGCCACAATTTACATTCGGCTCGATCAGCCTCTCGGCAGTCCGACGGCGGTGAAGCTCGTCCGACAGCTCATCCAGCCCATCCCCGGCACGCGAGATCCGTACGTGACCAATCTCATGGCGTATAATCCGCCTGGTCAGCAGCCGGGCATCACCGAGTTCGCCGCACTCAATCCGGCGCTCGACACGCTTCGGCTCGCGATCGACCTGCGCGGACTGGCGCTGCAGCTGATCCAGCTGGCCAAGATCAGCATCGAGGTCACCCAGCTCTTTGCCGGTCCTGGCGGCCTGCCGTATGTCATTGCCGACATTGACCTTGAGAACGGTCTGCCGACTCAGCTGGCGCTCGAGCAGATTGCGGCCAACGGGGCCAAGGCCGGCTCTGGCAAGACATACGCAACGCTCGACCACACGTTTGACCCGACCCTGATCCTGCCCGCCGCTGCAGCGACGCTGGTCAACCCAGGCAAGGCAACGGCGCACATTCCCAACGTCCTGCTTCCCATGGGCCTCCTCAACTCGATCGACATTGTCGGCAACAATCTCGATCTGGACATCACCAAGGCGCTGATCAAGATCGGCGGGTCCAACGGCTACGAGCTGCAAGGCGCATTGACGTATCTCAACGTGCCGGCTACGTACACGCTGACGCTGGCTGGAGTGCCCATCGCCAGCCTCGATTCGCTCGGTGGACTGCTGGGCGCGCTATCGGGAGTTGTCGGCGTTCTTTCGCCCAACGAGCGAAAGCTTCTCAGCGACGGCTTGCAGAACTTGGGCTCGGGCAACATTCTGGGGCTCGTGGATAACGGCTTCAAGGATCTCGTCTGCGTCCTCAACGACCTGCCCCTTCCGTTGCTGGGTCAGGCCGGCTGTCCGCAAGCATCGACGTCGAGCACCTCGGCTGCATCGACGTCCGCTGCCGCCACAAGCTCTGGATCGGCTTTGCCGGCCGTAGTGAGCGCCGCGTCAGGCGCCGCATCTAGCGCAACATCGGCCGTTGGACCCGTCTTGTCGATCCCACTGGCCGCTTCCTCGACTCCAGCAAGCAACCCTTCTCCCGCGCCGTCCTCTCCAGCGTCATCGCCCGCAGCAGCAGCTTCGAGCACCCCCGCAGCAACGAGCAGCGCCGGTCTCTTGGGCAACCTAGGCAGCGGTCTCGGCCTATAATCTCTTGCATCCCTTGTTCTTCTCCATTGTCGCGCTCGCATTGTACATTATCCATCATCGTAGAAGATTCGAAGAGTCCTGATTCGGCAAGAGCCAACCATTCGCCAGAGACTAACACAGACACAGCCGCGGTATGTGAGCGCGAGGATTCGAATACAGCAAGCTGGTCCATGTCTGCCTATGCTTGCTTGAGGGCTGGTGCGTCGCTCGCGCCCGTGTCTCGGTCTTCAAGTTGAGCAGAGTTCGACTCGTCTTGCGGTTGCGACGATCGGAAAAAGTCCCACTCCTCCCTGACGGTTCCATCGGGAAGCCTGCACATGCCGATCTCGTTGCCATCCTTGTCCTTGACAATCTCGAGCGTTCCACCTTGCTGGACGCAGTACACGCTGGCTGGGTTGGCGATTTGCATCATCGAGGGCGACTAAAGGTACAACAGAGTGAGAAGCGCCAGTAAGATGACAGAGGCAATTCAGAGGAAGGGAATGCGATTTGGCATCAGTGGTGGCAGATGAGCATCGGTGGATGGATGGTGGCAGCTTTGCCGACGAGCATTCCATTGTCCTTTAGTACTTTCATGCCCGCGGGGGTTATTTTTTTCCACTTCCCGAATTCGGACCGGACTCTGAGACATTTCTCCGCACCGCCCCGTCTCGGACACAGCCACGGCCCGAAGTCGTTCTAGAACCAGTCTTGATCCTGCCGAGCGCCCCGCTCATTGTATGCACGTCAACCGAGCGCAACCGAACTCGACATGCCGGCCTGTTCTGAACCCTTCCCGTGGACGCTTGATCCCGAGCTCGGCCACCTGCAGCACACATTCTGCTGTTCGCGCGCGTCGGTCAAGGGGATGGTAGTGAGATTGCAGGTGGGACCCTCGTCTATATTTGGGCTGAGCAACGTCATCCTTGTTAAAGAAAACTTCCGTCCGGACCACCATCTAATTCTAGGCAAAGAAGCAAGAGATTCGTGGTGACAAGAGGATATACAAAGAGGCTGAGCGACACAACATCGGAGCATTAATTATTTTTTTGGTCTTTTCTATCCTTTCCTGAGACAGGATAGGTCTAAGGCACGGGGACCAAGCAGCATCTTGACCAAACAGGACAGAGGCAACGCGGTCCCAACAGTGCATAGGAGGAGCATACCGAGCAGATCCGAACGACGAGCCGAGGAGCCTTGATCTTGTTGGAGTTGTTGTTTGCCGAGCGCGAAGACTTGGGAACCGACGGGAAGAGGAGCATTAATCCTTTTTTTGGTGTATATTCCTCCTGAGCTTTTCTTTGAGAGCCGATGCTGCAGGAAAGAGTTGTTGGTGTTATTGCGATGCGGGTCAATGGTCGGTGATGGTGCGGCCACAGTACCTCGCAATGTTGCTTAGCTTCCGGACCAGCGGAATAGCGATTCGACGTGGATAGGCGTTCTGAGTGGTATCATCTGTTCTTTCTGGACGTTCGGCTCGGTCGCCTTCTCGGGCTCGGAGTTGACCTCGAATGTTGGCGGCTACCTGAGCATAGATTTGGAACGAGAACATCGAGTACGCTGCAAGTTCAAGGGCGATGATTGTCCAGACGGCCCAAGGACGTAGGATGGCGACATCGCTGACGTGGCTCATGAGGCCTTGGCCGATCTTTGGGATGACGAAGATGAAAGTAGCTCGGATGGCGGCGAGGTATGTCGTGTCTGAGACGCCCTGCAGCAAGACGAGGGATGTCCAGCAGAGGTTGAGGGCGTAGCTGACGACGATGAGCACTTGAAAGACGTTAGCCGGGAAAGGCATCGGCACGGCGTTGGCGTCCAGCGTTGCGGTCAGATTCGTGGAGTCAGGGATCAGGACAGCCATCGTGAATGAGGAAGAGATAGGAAAGGGGGGAACTGGAACGCTTGCCGATACAGTGAAACCAAAGGCTGCGCGCGCTTGTTCTTATGCGTTTCAGAGAGCACGCCAGGTCCCTGGCTCCTTCAGTTCCTCGCCTACTGTGCATAGCGTATGCGAATTTCTGGCGCCGCGAAAGGCGCAACCATCGTTCTTCCATCCAACGGAAATTGATCTGCAGACGTCGCAGCCTTTCGGGAATTCCAGGCTTGCTAGATATGATAGACAGGATCGTCGTATCGAAAATGCCGCTGAGGATCCATCAAGTGAGCGAAAAGACCGAAGTGATACGAGTGTTCGAGCGCATGCAGTGTCGGTGTCGCGGATTCCCTTCCAGATGTCAGAATCCGAGTCACCTGCATGTGGAGGCATGTGTGGGTCTGGGCACTGAGCCCCACTTTTTCTGTCTTGCCACGCTGAAACCAACACCCAACCAACCAACCCCCGCGCCGGCAGACAAAGTCTTCAAGATAGCAGACGTGCATGATTGTCAACTTCGACGATCCATCCCCCCCCACCTCTCACGACATTCCTGGCGCCTTCTTCATCGACCATCACCGATCACCTGAATCACACCCATCACCGATAGCATGGACCTTCCAATGAGTCAAGCTGAGCAACCTCCCGACGAGGCACGACCGAGTGGAGGTGGCAGACGAGGCCCAAAGCCTAAGGCGTGCGACGCTTGTCGGTTAGTCAAGCATCAGTGCGCTCCTTGCGAAGGAACCTGCGGTAGATGCTTAAAATTGGAGATGAAGTGCGTTCGCTCCCACGTCGAACCTCAACAGCCTTCGAACTTTGCCGCTACAGGATCCAGCTCACAGCAGTCTCGGGAAGGAGGTGATCACTCTGCCGACTTTGTCGGCGCGGGGACGATCCCTCAGCAGTCTCAAGAAGAAACAATCCTGATTGCCGCCTCGGCCGATGCAGAGACCAGATCGAACCACCAAGACCGAATGGCCATCCTCCCTTCCTCCCTGACCGACGGAGACCAACTCCCTGACGATTTCCTCCCTTGCTTCTTCAACTTCGACCAATTCGAACGGAATTGTGAAGGACAAGCAGTATCTCCAATCGACCCTACCTACTCATCGGAAGTTCCTCGGCAGTCTCGAGAGGGAACGGATTCGTCTCACGTCTTCCCTGAGGAACTACCCGACTTAGACCCACTCCTACCGTTGGATTGGCAAGAACAAGCAGTATCGTCAACGGATCCGTCTCACGCCCTCCCTTCCGTCCTACCCGACGGAGAACAGCCCCTACAGGATTGGCAAGAACAAGCAGTATCGTCAACGGATCCGTCTCACGTCCTCCCTTCCGTCCTACCCGACGGAGACCCAGTCCCACAAGATTGGCAAGGACAAGCCGTATTCCCGATCGATCCTGACACTTCGGTAGCATTTTCTCAGCAGTCTCAAGAGGGAGGGGATCACCCTGCTGAACTCTCCGGTCACGGTCTGGAGGGAATAGTTGAGCCGTTCGACTTCTTACAGTTCTTGGTACAGCTTTCTTCAGAAGGTACCGGTCGGTCCTTCCAATCTATTGATCGAAGCTCAAGCTCGCCGCTACCACACGAGGATACGAATCAGTCTCTTGACATGGAAGATTCAGAGACAGATTCGGAGCAGTCTCGCGCAGAAGCCCCACGGACTCCAGAGTCCCTTGGTCTGCCTTGTGACCCGCCCTACTGGGCGACACCTGTGCACAGTCCCTCAGGGTACGATACGCTGACCTTGGTCAGCAACGGCTCAGGAACGTTCGTGCGCGTCACGCACCCTGAAGCTATCAGGTCCCTAAATTCTCACTTGCAAGAAGTTTGCAAAGGATATCTGGCCGCGGACGATGACGACATCGAAGCAACTCTTTGTGGAAGGCAATTCTCGGAGCCTCTGCAGGATTTCGGCTACAGACTGCGCAGGCAGGGACTCGGCTACAAACTACGCAGGAATGTGATTCTGGACGACTACGCAAAATATTTCGATTCGGTATACAATCAGCCTTCGCTGCTTTCTTTCTACCAATCCTGCAAGCAACAACCAGCCGTACCTGAAGGAGTCTGGATTTGCATCAAGTCGGAGAGTTTTATCCCTGTGGGCACTGTACTCGAGACTCTACCCAAACGGGTTCAAGAATCTCAACTCGAACAGGTCAATTTGGAAGACTTAAGTGCCCCGCAGTTGCAGCTCATCATCAGGGGCTTGTGGGAAACCTACGGCTCGTCGATCTAGATCAAGATAGCTTCGCGCTCATTCTATGTCTTTGGTAAAAGGTATTCTGCTTGGTGATTGTCGGTCGCCATTGGTTCGTATATACGGATTAGATATTTGGCCCTGTCGAGCCGCTCTTGTGGTAGTCAAGTCGCCCTTCAGGTTACTCTTGTTGGTGGGTATCCGGCTCGCTCGGGCCGGTACCTGCATACGCACGCGCCCACTCACACCATGCACGCCCTGGAGGCGCGCATACACACAATACACCCGACTCAGGGGTACCATGCACGTACCCCTTCCCTCACTAGCTCGTTCCCCCAGTCTCACTTAGCTTCGCACGCACACTTTCATCCTGTAGATAGACCACCATCAATTACATTCGTTCCGTACCATCTCTGCCTGTCGTGTGCTACCGCCAGCGCCCAAACCATCGCCAGCCTTTCTCAAAGTCCCATTGCGCATTGCATTACTCATAACCCTTTCAAGCCGAACATCTCTCCCCGACTGTCCCTGTAGATAGATTCATCGACTCAGCATCAATACGATACGTGACCCCAGATGCGTCTGCGATCTGCACCGTCCCTGATCGCCAAGAACCGATGCAGCGTGCCACTCGGCAAAACCGTGAAATCCGATGCGAATCTCTATTTTTATGCACCACGCTGCTGTGCCACGAGGGCTGCCGAAGACGCCGCCGTTCGGCATCGGCTCCAGCAGAACCCTGGCCGAGCTTGGACCCTGGATTGCTTCCAACGGAGGGGCAGCTGCCTGTGTTCGATCCTGCCAGCAATGGTCCGAGCGTATCTGTGCGGCCATCTCTCACATATTTGCTCGCTTCCCCCCTTGACACCATCCCACGCACACGATCGCCGAGGTCCACGAATCGCCGTCGCAGACGTCAGTAGGATGGATCCAGTTGCATATCTTTCGCAGGTGCGCTTCCACCAATCGATTCAATGTAGACGAACGCAATCTCGCGTCACATTCGCGCTTGGCGGCAATGGCTGGGACGCAGCCGTGACGAGCAAGTACGGCTCGATCAACACAGCAGCCTCCAGCACCGAAGGATATCATCACCAAGGTCCGCTGTTGCTGTACCTGCTTCCCTCTGGCTGCAGTCGCCTTCTAGGCATGATTCTTGAAGGCATCTGTCGAGAATCCAACGTCTCGATCCTCGCCATCGATCGACCTGGCAGTGGCGGCACACCAATGTGCCCATTGGAGGAGCGAATCCAGATCGCAACCCAGCAGACCCTCAGCGTGCTCGAAGCACTTCAACTCGATCGACCCGGCATGCCGCAGCTGAGGCTCCTAAGTCATTCTGCCGGCTGGTTCTACGCTCTCGCATTGCTCCAGACAGCACCGCAATACTTTGCCAGACTAGACTCACCGCCCAAGATCGTCTTGTCTTCGCCGTTCGTACCAACAAGCCAGTCATCGAGCACGATGCTGTCACTGCTGCCAAAGGGTCTTGTTGCGCTCACGCCCAAGGTGATGCCCGTGCTTGGTCGCAGTATCAACTGGTCGACGGGCATGGTCGATGACATTGCGAGTGTCGGCAAAGGCTGGGTCGCATGGTCCAGCGCCGACGTTGATCCAGCCCAGTCGCAGGAGCGAAAGCAAGCAGATCGCGAGAAGCTCGACCAGAAGAATCGCGAGGTGCAAGCGCGAAGCAAGCAGAAGCATCCCCATGCCCGCTTTCATCCTCCGTACGAGTCGCATCTCAAGTTTGGCTTGGATGCGTGGAAACACTCCGACGTTCCCGCCGAAGAAAGACCACGCCATCCCAAGACGAACCGCCCGCTCAAGTCAGGCGGCGATCTGCTGTTCGACTACTTCCAAGAGGAAGGCTCGATGGCTGGCATGTGCGAGGACTATCAGCTTTGTCTGGGCAACGCACCGAGCCTGAACAACGAGGCCCTCACACGCTGGATCGTCGAGCGACTCGAGCAAGTCTTCACTAGCATCGTATCGCTTTCGAGCCTGCCAGTCCAGCTGATAGTGGTCTGGGGCGACGCCGACTTTCTGATCCCTCGCAAAGGACGTGACTGGTTGGATTCGGTGCTGAAGCGACACGAAAGAGACAGCAACGTCAAGTATGAGCGGTGGGACATGGCGGAAGCTGGACACGATGCTACGCTCTTTTCCGAAGATGTCATGAACGATGTGCTTGCGTTTCTCACCGGCGCTACAGACCAGCTCGGCTTCAGACCATCATCCAATTGAAAAGCGACTGCCAAATCATTCGCAATATTATTGAAGCGAGCTCGAGGGTCCGGACTGAGCCTCTGCATGCTTGTCTCTGAGTAGCCGCGATTTACCGTGCCTCCACAACGGGTCTCGGCCTTGTCGGCCTCAAACTTCCAATGATGCTGAGCTGTCCGGAGAGGTTGTACGCCCGTTGCCGGTACTCGTCGAAGCGTGACCCGAGCTTTATGCGGTGAGGGCCTGCGCAAGCGCCGGACCAGCTCGATCGCAGCAGAAATGTCAATAGTCACTTTGGAAGAGCAGCTCGTCGCCGAGCCTTTTCATCGTCTTCCACCACCATCCGAAAGCTTGCCGTTGCCGCCATGTCCGAACAAAACGAAAACAAGCTTGCAGTGGGTATCGTTCTGTTTGACGGCGTCACTCAGCTCGACTACATCGGGCCTTTGACGGCGTTTGCACCGCACTTTCGCACCTACCTGCTGCACCACACGCTCGATGCCGTCACCACCGACATCGATGCGGTGATGGCGTTGCCCACGGCTACCTTTGATCAAGTGGACCACGTCGACATTCTGCTTGTTCCGGGTGCGCCAAACAAGCACATCAATCGACTGCTCTGCGACGCCCGCTTTCTTGCGCAACTGCGCCGCCTCGGCTCCGGAGCCCAATACATCACCTCGGTATGCACCGGCTCGCTCCTTCTCGCTCGCGCAGGCCTTCTGGACGGCTTCAAGGCCACTAGTCACTGGTCGGCACTCGAGGTCCTCGCGGCCATGGGCATCGAGACTGTCAAGCAACGCGTTGTTCACGATCGCAATCGTATCACAGCTGGAGGCGTCACCGCAGGCATCGACTTTGGCCTCACCCTCGTCGAAAAGCTCAAGGGCCTCGACGCCGCCAAGCTCACGCAGCTCATGATAGAATACGATCCAGCACCCCCCATCAACGCTGGCTCGCCCGAAGGCGCCGGCGAGAAACTCACCGCTTTTGCGCGCCAATCGTCCAAGAACGATGTCGACGAAGGCATCCGCATTGTTGCAACGCCTGCCCCGCTTTAAATTGCCCTCGCTCCGCATTCTTTGCTCATTTATCCACATGATCGTAATCAAACGAACTGATAGGGCAGCCAGGGTTAGGGTTAGGGTTAGGGTTAGGGTTAGGGTTAGGGTTAGGGTTAGGGTTAGGGTTAGGGTTAGGGTTAGGGTTAGGGTTAGGGTTAGGG